GCGCTGATGAGATCCAAAAAGATCGAAATCGCGATCCGCGTCTGGCAGTTTCGACAGAATACAGACCACTTCGAATTATTTTATTCGATTAAGCTAACGTGCCTATCACGTTGAGGTTGGCTACGCCGGGATTCGTTTTCAGCAAGTAGATATTCACACAAGTGGACCTTGTTGAAAAATATGTAATCCTAAAATGTAGCATCGTGCTACAGATGGCGTTCACTGTGCCGTTTGTAGTATTTTCTGGAACTCAATAATAATCTCTCACATTAAATGGTACCAAATGTATTGAAGATTGAAGGTAAGATGCTTAAACTGATAGCCCAAAATAGTAACAATCAATAATAATTAAATAAAATAAAAGAATCATCAACATAAGTATGTAAGTAAGACAGAAATCCAATAGGAAATGTCTAAAATAAAGCACTACAAGATACCAGACAACGGCGTACTTTTGAACATGGGCCTCCCATTTATTTAATCGATTATATATCATTATTGTTTTAATCAATTTGGTTTCATTTGATGTGAGATATAAATAGAAATCAAAAAGACAATTTACTTTATCTGTATATGGAATTTTGATTTCATATGTACAAAAATCTGTTGAGTTCAAATTACTTTTCAATTGCAAATTCATTTCAATAAAATTTATATTATACTCCATATTTCGCTGTGTTGAAAGGCTTTTGAGTTGTGGTTCATCGAATTTTGTATTTAAACAGGTATAGGTGGGCTGAAGCAGCAGAAAGAGCAGCATCACATTCTAGTACTTCGTTGCCCAGAGGAAGTAAACGAAAAGAACCTTTGGGCCAAGCAAATAATTCTACTAGTCCTGTTCCTTTTACGCAATCAAACAATTCCAGGTAAACGAAAATAAAAATTAATTTCAGTGCAATTATGGATATGTACTTAGGTGCACAAAATTAACAAACGGTCGAAAATCATTAACACTGGAGAAGATCAGAATAAAAAGCATCATATTTATTGTAGTGTTGCGTATATAACACATACAAGGTTCTGCTAAAATTGCTTAATTACCGATGATTTTAATCCGTATTCAAATATACTTTTCGTAACGTAAAAATACAAATTTAGTTTGCGAGCCGTGACAGTCATTAATTAATTACTTAACAAAAACTAACAGTTGTTACAATGACGTTACTCCTAAAACACTTATCATCCATTGTTTTTCCAGATAAATAATTGTACGCGGATAGTAGTTATGCAATGCGTAAAAACGTTGTTAAACAATTTTTTTACGTATATTAATGTGTTTTTAAAGTTATTTTTGTACCGGTTGGAACTAACTACACTTTAAATAATAATTATAACTAGATAAGTAAGTTTGCAGAATTCAATAATCTAGCATTAAAAGTTGCTTTTAATAGTAGGTAAACACGATGTTTCATATCGTAAAATATTGCATATACGGCATTTGTTTCAATAAAAGTAAGTAAAAATATGAATCATCAACAGCACCTACGACATACATAGTAGTTACCATTTCTTATCGCGAATAGAATGTGCATAACATGGCTTGTATGCGATAAAATTTTTTTGGCAGGAACCAATTACAAACCAACAAAATTAAAAATTTTCTTATTTTAATTTGAGCGAATTCAAAATTATTTTTGTTTTAATTATTAATTTCAATCTAATCTAATAAATATTATTTACATTGATTTTTAAGTAAATATAAAATTGTGCCAATTATTATAAGATAAACGTTAGTTCAATCAAGGTTATTCAAACAGAAGACTAATCGTCAATAAAAATTTCTGCATAAATGACGAAGTTGAATTGGAACCTTCATTTTAGTAACTTTCGAAACTTTATTACTTTTTACTATCAAAAGAATTCTTCTTAAACATCTATTATCAAAACCGCCAAGTATACACAGGTTGTGTATTTTTTTAGTGAACTCATAGTAATACGGAACGAGCCAGGACCATTGGGTATCCATGTAGTACCCGATTACGATAGACTGGGCAAAGAAAAGGGTCTTCTAGTCCAAGGAATAGAACCGGGTGGTCGAATAGACCGTGATGGTAGACTTGCTGTGAATGACCACATCATTGAAATCAACGGACAAAGTGTGATTAACATGCCATTCCAAAGGTATGCAGATATTTAACTGTCAGATTATTTTATAGCTTTTAAATGACTTCAGAAACTATCATTATTACATATTTATCTTGTTTTTTAACAGAGTTCAAGAGCTCTTTAAGCTATCGTTAACAGCAAGTGAACTACGTCTTCGAGTACAGAAGGGAAATAACTCGGATGGAATACATAGACCTGCCAATTTTCCCAGACTTCCAGAAGACAAAGAAAATATTTCGATGGTAGAATGTGAACAAAAACGTGAGTAAAAATAAAAAGCCAAAAACTCCCAAAAGTAAGGCCTATACTTCTACATACAGTGATGGATTAAACCCGCAAGAGGCCTGGGCGATAAAACGAAATGAGACCCCGGTCTAATCAGAAATTGACGTATTTGTAGCACAAGTAGATATAAACTTCAAAGTAAACTACCTCTTATATTTACTAAACGTATTTTGGTCTTGTTCGGGATTTCTTGCTCCCCCAGCACCACAATCCCTGGGACGGGCAGTCCCTTCCCCTCTTAATCTGTCACTGTTTGTATAAATGATTTCTTATTTTGCAATATTTCTAATTATATTAATTTTTTTCATACAGAAAACATCAATACTAAAGTTGCAACAGTATCGCCCACGAAAAAGGTACCTGCCATTTCTCGAAATTTAAAATCCCTTATCACTGCAAACACTAGAAAAATTGGGCGAAAAATCGAGCTAGAATTAACTAAAGGTTCCCACGGATTGGGCTTCAGTATTACAACTCGGGACAACCCAGCTGGTGGCAACTGCCCAATTTATATAAAAAACATTATACCGAAAGTAAGTTTCAATTCCTAACAACTTTTTTGGGTTCTATGGAAAAAAATGCGTCTTATTTTAATTTTCTTCCTGTTGGAACAGGGTGCAGCGGTAGAAGATGGAAGACTGAAAATCGGAGATAGACTGCTAGAAGTTAATGGGATCGAAATGACAGGAAAGAGCCAAGGCGAAGCTGTTTCTATTTTACGAAATGTACCACCAGGCAGCAAAGTTCGAATCGTTGTTTCACGGCAAGAGGATGTACCAGATAACAATTTGGCAAGAACAGTGGTAAGTATTGGAATCTATTAGCACAGTCGTGAGATGCACCAATTTATAAATTGAATGAGCAAAAGTGAATGCTTGATTATGTATAATCGTTTTGTGTCATTTTCTTTATTAGAAATTTAATTTTTAACTTGTCAAACATTTCAGTATAGAAGAGGTCAATTTTCCCTCTCTCTTGTTTTAACGTTACTTTTTTGAATGGATTGTTAATTACTAGATACACATTACTGAAAAATAATTCTGCTTAGGTATTAGAAACCGACGAACGCTGTGAAGAAAACAACGTTTCCCAAGTCTTAAATAGGTCCCTAGATGAAAATGCTAATGCAGCGCCAGCTATTCCCCCTTTACCCCAGAATCACATACAAAACCAACAGCTGAGGCAGATTGAAAAAAATAGCAGCGTGGCCAAAATAATTTCACAATTTCAAGAAGCAAATGTAATCATTTACAGCCGATGTAACGTTACTCTTTCACTGGTGTATTTTTTCTTTTTAGGAAAAATCAGAAGACGGTCAAATATTTCCATGGAAGCATAGGGAAATTTTAACTTTTGACATTCCAGTGCACGATTCGGAAAAAGCAGGATTAGGTATAAGTGTGAAGGGAAAAACAAGTGGTTCGCAAGACTTGGGTATTTTTATAAAAAGTGTCATAAACGGTGGTGCCGCATCTCGTGATAAAAGACTGAGGACTAATGATCAATTATTAAACGTAAACGGTGTTTCTTTATTACACCAGTCGAATAGTGATGCCATGGAAACCCTAAGGAAAGCAATGCTGCACACTGAAGGTCCTGTTCCTGGAAGTATTACCCTAACAATTGCAAGAAGAGCATCATCCCCAGGGCCAAATAGGAACAATTCCAGACGAAGCTCTTCAGCAGAACTATTAAATTCATCAACAGGTAATTCGAATAAATAAAATTATTTAAAATTAAAAAAATAACAATGAGTAATACATTTTATAGGTAGCGACATTTACCGACCAAACGATTCAGAAACGTCTCGTAATGAAAGTTCTGAACCAAGTGGAGGTTCATCAAATACTGTGATTTACAATCCACGAAAACATTCTCATACAGAATCGAGCATCATCCCGAATAATCAAAATTTTAGTCCTATGCAAACCTGGAATCCAGTATTAGATAGACTAACTAATCACAATAAACAACTTAGAAATGAAAGCTACTACATTGTAAGTAACAAATGTACACCTTATGGGTATTTTATATAGATGTAATTATAATTGTTTATAAAGGCAACACACGATACTTGGACTACAAGTATGCTAGCAGCAGGAAATCAGTCTTTGGCAAAAGGCCCTCCTCAAACAGTTAACCTAAATTCTGGCGAAACAATTCTCGTAGAGGATGATTATGGACCCCGAGTTATACCCCATCAGAATTCGAGGTAAGTAATTGTAATTATAATTGCAGTTATGTAATATTCACTAACAGGTAAGATGCATCGCTTTTCTTAGTAAAGAAGTTATACTTATATGTAGTTATTAATATCCAAAATACAACTTACCCAGTATTTGTAGTCTTCTGAACAATTAAAGCCATCTGGTTTTTGTCTTCTACCACAATATTTAACAAATAATGTTCATTAACAACCGTTTACAACAAAACACGAAAACGCCACTTTATTATAAATTAACTCATGTAATAGCCTAATAACTCTGTGGCAGCACATGACAGAGTGTTTGAAGTTCTTCTTCTTCATCATCAGTAATCACATCGTCCGTGGCTATTGTATACTTGCCGGTATGATTATAATATTTGAATTTAATGGCGGCACAACGTAACTTTTCATACTTAGGTACATCGTAATCCATTTTTATCATATGTTTCATTTCACATACAAAAAAAAAACAGTACAAAGAAACACGTATGATTTACTAATGTATTCGTAAGATAATTGTTTACTTTTTTTAAGCGTATTTATTGCAATTTTTCTATTTTACAGAACTCCTCTTTCTAGTTGTTCTCCTCCACAAAACAAATCAGACTCTCAAAATAATGTAGATACAACAGATTCTAATATCCAAAATTCCGATAAAAACACAGAATCATCACAAACAGGAGCAAATAATGATGTGACTTATGCCAGCCAGTTATCCCTGGAACAACCTAATCCTGCAACCTTTTCCAGGGATGCTTTTGGCAGGCAAAGCATGTCGGAAAAACGACATGCTACATTAGATGCTAAGAATACAGATACGTACCAAAGAACAAAAAAGATGAGAGAGGAACGAGATAAGAATAAACACAGAGAAAGTAAGTATCATTCCTCTACAGTGTACTTATAATCGTTGGGGAAGTACTTATTAAACAATATATTAATTATGTGTCAGTGCTTTATAGCTATAAAATTAAATTTCAAATTCATCTTATTCCATTACTAGTTTTTAAAATCATAAAAAGTTACATAACATTTCATTTAGCTTTTCGTTCAATGTTCTTATTTCCATAAATCATTAAATTTAAACAATAAGTACTTAAAATAATTAATTCAATTTTAATGTTTAACGTAAGTGCATGAGTGAATGTTTCAATAACCCGCTAACAGTCCATATTTTTCCTTTTAACAGCAAATTTGGTTCGTGTTGGATCAGTGGAGTCTGTTATAAGTGTTAACCGCTCATCAGAACACCCCGAACGTAAGCTAGTCACCCTTTGTTTGCTTTTGTATTGTTCTCATTTAGCGTCAATTATTTACAAAATTTGATTCTTATTGTATTGATCCTAATTTTGAAGTCATTATATTTTGTAGAGGCAGATAAATTGGGTCAATTGGGGCCATCACTGGGAATGAAAAAGTCTTCCAGTTTAGAGTCCTTACAAACGATGGTTCAAGAGGTACGCTTTAATCAATTTAATTTTCTAACAATATTAATGTGTAATATAATTAACTTAGATGCAGATGCAAGAAGACGGCGATCCTGTATATTGCTATAGAAATAACGTTGGATTAAAAGTAGTTCGCGGTAGAGGTTGTGAAGAGAGCTTTAGAGCAGCAGTTATAGATCCAAATCACCGGAGTGAAACAAGTAATTCAATTTATTTTATAATGCATAACAATAAAATAATTATAACTAATTCGTTCGTTTTTTAGCCGCTAAAAAGCATTGGTTATTAGATCCACCTGTCCAGGAAAGACAGATAGATGGCTTTAGTAACGTTAGGGGTGGTCCAAGGCAGTCTTCATTGAACGCAAACTTGGATGGAAAGCATAAAGGAGGAAAAAAGAAACCAGGAATATTAAAGGGAATTGGCTCTATGTTTAGGTAGTTATACATGTTGTAAAACTTATTGAAACAAATAAAGCAAAACAACTCTTTCTCGTGCAGGTTTGGAAAGCACCGAAAAATGGATTTCAATCCACCAGAACAATATAAACCCCAAGGCGAGGGAGTGCCAGAAAAATTGTCACCCCATCCCTCTCCGCAGCAGAAGCAATCACAGCCAGAACAAAACCATTTATCACAACCCGAAATCAAAAGTGAAAAGTCGGTTGATCAAAGGAACAACAACTGTAGTGAAAGGTTAACGGAACAACCACCAGAACCTTTGTACAATAGGCACGGATTTATACAAGGATACGCTGAACAAGTACAGGTAAAAGCTCAATATGTCGATATAAACATATTTACTTAATACTAATACATAATATTTTAATTAGGTCATACCAGAAGGCACTGCTCTTACAACCACTAATAGAACCAATGTCAACCATGGGCAGTATGATCAAAATCACAACCGGGGAGAAAGGAGTCAGTTGATGAGGGCATATGAGCAAAGGCAAGCTCAGCGACAGCATTACTATCACCAGAATACTGAAAATAGCAAAACAGATCAAGCTGGTAGACAGGTATATCAAAAAATGTAAAATTTAAGTGAAAATACATGAGAATATAATAATTTTAGAGATTAGATCCGGGGCCTTACGGAGAATATGGAAAACCGGGAAGTCGATACGGTATTTCCGAGCCCATTCGTTTTACACATTATGTTAATTATGATGAATTGCAAAACCATATCAGGTAATTTATTATATACATTTTATTTGGAAACATAACAACTTTAATACTTAAAGTTATGAAATGTGACTAATATTAAAGAAAAATTACTAACTTATTCTGCATGAATTTTTGTATGTAAATAATACATTTCTTGACCATTACATTTAAAATATTTAAATAAATAAAAGTTCTTCAATCCTTCTACTTTTTTATTATAATATTGTTAGTAAGAGCAAAATTATAACATGTTCCAATTGAAGGTATAAAATAAAAACATATTTAGTTTTAATAAAAAGAACGGTACTTAGGAAATGAATGTAATTTCAATGAAAAAAAGGTAATGCGTACAAACAGAAAAAGTTATAATAAGGAATGTTAAACTTAAGAAAAGTATTGTCATGATTGTATATCCTTACATATATGAATATTCTGTCCCAACAGCCGAAAAGAGACGCTGTCAGACAGTCAAATAAATCAAATGCGTCTTCAAGTTCAACAACAGAGATTAAAGGTGGAGGAAGAAAGGTATGCACAATATGTAAAGAGGTAGAAATGGTTTTGCACAGGCTTGCGGGCTCTTTAATTCTTTTCCTTAAGTAGTTATTTCTTCTTTATATTACTTTTGATATGAAATGAACAGACGACAATAGGTTTTTTAATTTTTCGATCCATTTTCCTCTATGCCTGTAGAGTTGCAGTTTTGGTAAACGTTTTAAATAAACACTGAAGCATGTTTGTGCTACACTAGGCTTTGTTTTGTACTAACACAACACAGTTAGTAATTTGCGTAGGTTTCTAAAGCTGATTTTTGAAATAAAATCAAGTTTTCTTGCCTTCTACAATTTATACATATGCAAGCATATTTATTACCCAGTGAAGATTATCTATTGGATCCAATGGAGTAGTATAACTACAAAACTATATGTACCCGCAGTGATATTAAAAGTTTTATATATCTTTTCAGAGAAAATCCCTTACCAGTTCTCGTAATGGAAAATTCTCTTGTTTCAGTCGCAAACAGCAACAATATCATTCTCAGCGACAGATACGCCAAAATAATCAACTGAGACCCGTCTCGAATTTTTACGAGTACGAGAGTGTTCAGTCGATTTTAAATGTACATGGAAGGGCTGATAGACCGGCTGCGCCTCCAGTAACACATATTCATCAACATTCAGACTCTTACCAAGAAACCAATTCCAATTCCTTGACCAGGCATCCTGGGGTTTCTGTGAGGACTGTTGCCAATTCCCGTAGTAATCATCCAAACCATTTCGCCCAAAACAGGGGTCCTTTTATAACGCAAGTGCTAATAGGAGACCATGTGCAACACACCGGATCTAGGGTATAAAGAATAATCAGCATGCTGTGCATTCATAATTAGATATTGATTAGATGATAATTGTAAATATGTATGAATATGTAATTATTTTGTGTACAAATAAAGATATGTATTTACCGATTTTTTAATCAACTGTTTCATTCTGATAGTTAAAGGTTTTTTGTAATTAAAGATAATAATTGAAACTTGATTAAAAAAAATATATTTTGTTTTCTACTAAAATGATTTTAAATATAAAAGTTTAAAAGTATTCCGTTAGTGTAAGTGATTTGTGTATTATTTTTTACCAAGTGATTTTAGATTTATCTTGTACATTGCGCCTACCAAAAATTGGAATTTACTTGATGAATAATTACATTTAAAGTTGACTTACAAAAAATACCCACAAACTAGTATTAAAATTAATTTTGAATTGGTATACGTACTTTTGAAACACTAATTACAAGAACAAACACAGTTTAATATAAGACATTCACTTTAATATAGTGGAAGCAATTTTATTTTATCAATAAAAACTAGATATAAAAAAATAGATGAAAACATTTTGGCAAATTATTTGTCTCGAGTAATTAATAAAAAAAACTGTTCGCTTAGATATTTTATTATAGTGACATACACTTTGATACTGAAAATATCAGATCTAAACTAGGGTATCATTTCAATGCACAATTTCAACTTTCTTGTGGAAAGAGAGTAATGTATATTTACAAGTTTTCGTAGTACAATGTGATGGCCAAAATAAATGTAACAAAATGTCTTCACCAAAAAAATCCATACACGATTTTATATACAGTACAATATTTACAACTATACATACACTATCTACTTCGATCAACGTATCATAATACTACAATACTACTTTTTATTAAACAATTGCTCAATAAATATTCGTTAGACGAATGGCCGGTCAACATCGCTGACAGCAACAAAAGGTCTCAACGGTATTTTTTAAACCAGAAAAACATTATCCAACTTTAACTAAAAAACAATTTTGCACGTCTTTGTTGTACTTATCGTTTTCTTTTTCTAAACAAGTAGAAGTAAAAGTCAATTAAATTATGACAAACACAACAATTTTAAAGGAGTTCTAAACTTGCAGTTCCTTCTTTTGTTGCTTCTTTTTTCTACAGTCTGGACAAAACCACTGTCCTTTGGGCGGCACCATAATACCCACACATTCAAAGTGAAACCATTCAATTGCACAGTCATTAGCATCACAACCGATCATTTCCGACACTTCATCATACGGACACCGACAGTAGCAGTATAGAGGAACCTGCTGTTGAGTTTGTTTTTGAGGCGAAACCGTGATGGGCGGAGGAGTCTCTTCTTCTGAAGTACTTTCATTCGTGTCTGAAGCGCTATCTTTGTCTTGCATAAGCGTACTTGGCACTGTGGGCTGAGGCGGAGTGAAATTTCTTATAAAAGGTGGCACGCGCGAAGGCTGAGGTGTAACATAATGTGTTCCTCCTGGAAAACTGTCGTAAGATGGCGGTGGAGGCTGCGATGTTTTAATAGTTATTGGAGGAACAAGCAACGGAGAACTAGGAGCAGGTTTCGGACTTTGTGAAGGTAAGTCAGCTTTCCTCCATTTTAGAACAGGTGGTTGTCGCTTTTGCTCTTCTTCATCACTGGAATAACCATAGAATTTGTTTGGCACTCTTCTTCTTTTTGATGCTCTTGTTGAAGAATCATCAGAACCTGTAGCAGGAGGAATGCTAGAAACATCTCCCGTGGGAACAGACGAAGAAGGAGGAGTTGCTGGACTAGGATGAGTTAAAGTAAGAGGAGAATTACGTGTTAAAGTCAATGTTAGTGGAGGAAGAGTCGGTGGCTGATGTAATGGATAACTTGTGCTAGGAATGTTAGGATTGCGTCGAACTTCTTGTTCGTGTTTTTTATTTTTTCGTTTTCTTTTCTTGTTTTTGGATTTTTTCTTGATTTTAACTTCTTCTGTTTCCGGCAAACTCGGCGTAGAAGGCCTACTAGATTCTAAAATTGAACCGTTTATAAACGACCCTATACCAGCAAGTAGTTTTTCTTTCTTCTTCGCTAGCAATTCTTTAGCAATTTTCTGTGGTTGCTTATCATAAAAATCTTCATCTGTTTCGGTCTCTGTTGTTTCTAAATCTGATTCTTCTATAGGAGGTTCGGTTTTTGAAGGCGAAGTTTGAGCATCTCCAACAAGTGCATCAGTCTTGGTTGTGTTTTTTGCTTCTTTATTTTTATTTTTAGATTTTTCCTTTGCCTTTTCTCTTCGAGCTTGTTGCTTTCTTCTTCCCTCAGAAGTTGAGCTGTCTGAGTCAGAACTGTCTGAACTTGAACTTGAAGATCCAGAAGAAGAACTACAGGAACAGTTTGAGCCGCAAGAACAACTAGACGAATCGCTACCACTGCTTGAATCAGATGAACTGTCTCGTTTTGTTTTGGATTTCGTTACGATTGGTGATGGTGGCTTAGGTTCTTGTGGTGGTTTTGTTGGTGACATAGTAATTTGTTCTCTTGGTGAACAGTAATCGTGATCCATATTTTGAGGAATTTCATTTGATGTCTGATTTTCATCCACCTGCTCTTCATTTACCTTTTCAATAATGCAATAGTCATGCTCTTGATTTATAATGGAAAGTAGGTGACTTTGTCGTTCTTCTTCCAAAATCTTATCTGATTTTGCTGCATTTTCCGCTGCTTCTACGAGTTTATCAGTCACAATAGTATCTAAAGCCCCGTTTACATTGGATACTAGATTCTCAAGCTTCTCTTTATTTGCTTGATAATTTTTAAAATCATCCCATATATTTTCCAATACAGGAGCTGATTCTTGGATTTCAATTTTATCTGGCTCTTTACTCGAACTCTGTTCTAGTACTTCTAGATTGAGCGCTCCTTTAAATTCTTCACTCGCTTTTTCGCCTTTTTCTTTTTGATCAATCTCTTCCTCCACTTTTTCTTCAGGCGATTTAATTTCTGTCTTAGTGAACTTTTGGGCTTCGTTTTCGGAATCACTACTATCGCTTTCTGATAAGTTTAATTCTGGAAGATCATAAACATCTACTTTAGGTTTTAGCTTAGGCTTGTCTTCTGTATTTTCTGGACCACCTTCTTCTACTTTTTCTTCGACTTCTTGCGAATCACCTTCATCTTTCGCTGTAGATTCTTGTACAATTTCTGTTTCTAAAATTCGAGGCGTAGGTTCTTCAGGCGGTTCTCTATGTTTTAGCTCATGCTTAATCAGAAGTTTTTTAGAGATAAAATTTTCAGTACAATTGTCAAATGAACATGAATGCTGTTTTTCATTGTTATGAATTCTTTTATGTACTTTCAAGGCTACTGCTCTAGTGAAATTCAAGTTACATTCTTCACAAGTAAATGTACTTGGAGGAATACAAAAGTGATAAACATGGGGCCATTTCTTTTGTAAACACTTCTTACAGAGAACACTTTCTGTACCATGCTTCCAAAATAAATGTTTTGTAATATCGGGTTTGTTCCTATACGCTATTCCACAGCGGTAGCAAAGATGGTGCAGTTTGTGCTTCCACACATGATTGGACAACTTTGATTGATTGTGGCACAAGTCTAAACAAACATCGCAAGCGTGATGTCGCTTGCGCAAATGCACCATAAGTCGAAAAGCTGAGGGCAATTCATCACTTACACACATGCAGCAACGAAAACTGACGTCGCTATCCAAGGCATATATTCCTGGGCAAAGGTGGCAAATAAGTTCGCTATAACTGTAAAAATTTGATTTGCACATTATGCAAAGTAAAATCGTTTTAGCATGCATTTTCCGATTATGTAAATATAGTTCTTTGTGGACTGCTGTTGAAAATCTGCACTGAAAACATTCAAATATATGAGAAAATGTAACTGCTTCATCACATGTACTGGCTTCTAAATTAAAGTATGAATTTTCTATTTCAGATAGGTCTTCTTTTATTCTAGAAACAAAACTTTCTGGAATTAACTCTTCAGCAGTTATACTGTTAACAACTGCAGAAAAGCGATGTTCAGCTATAGCATGTAAACCAAGTTGCTTGCCATTTACTGCAATCTTTCTTGCATGATTACAATAAACACATGTTGAAGCAGTTGTACTTAGACATTTTTGCAACAATTCTTTCAGATCAAATTTGTCCAATGGTTGTTCTAATTCTAATTCAATAACTGGGACATCTGGACCTGCCACTGGTATGGAAACATCATTTATATTTGATTGCTTCTTTTCATTGTCATTATTACTACTTTTATTTTCTTCAGGGAGCTCAACTTCCAGAGTTAATTTTTCACTATCATCACTCTCTTCTGGTTCAGAATTTGTATATGAAGAAACAGTCTTTGGTAGCTTTAAAGTAACTTTAGGAACTCTACGTGTGTCTTCGAATTGAGAATCTTCAGAAAACGATTTTAGTGAGTCCTCCAGATCCTGTTGCAAATCACTTAACATTTCAGCTGATTTTCTCTGTTCTAATGAATTTTCAACTTCACTCCCTCCTTCTTCGATCTCTTTTTCTATTGAGTGATTGGAAATAGGTGATCCAACTCTGTTAATTTCATTTGAATTTGTAAGTGCTTTTTCAGAATCATCACCTGGATTGAAATTTGGCTTCCCGCTATCTTCTTGATTTTGATAGCTGTCAATAACTTGTGAATTTTCACTGACACTTTGATTAAGCAGATTGCTAACAAATGGTTGTCCTGCACTTTTAGTAGTTTCTGTAGGAATTTTATCTTGATTTGGCTGATCATTCAATTTTTCTACTTCATTTTTTTCATGAATTGCTCCATCACTGAGATTTTTATCACTTACATTTTCATTTAGTTCTGTATCTAAGCAATTGTTTTCTTTGCTTTTACCTTCATCATCACTATTTGAATTATCAATATGACTATCTGCAGTCACATGTCCAACAAAAGTTTTACTTTTTGCACTTTTTGATCCTTTATTTACCACTTTCTGGTTGGCATTGTTTCTCACACTACTGTATTTACTTTTGAACTCTGTAGTTGTATGAGCAATTGGTTCACATGTATGATTTATAAAGTTGTCCTGCTCACTAAATGCCTTTTCACAATCACAACACACTAAAAAACAAGGTTCTTTATGCAGTTGAAAAAAATCTTCAATACATGTAAATTTGTTTGGCACACAATTATGTTTAGAAACTAAATGTAATGAAAGCTTTTCGGAGTGTGAGAACATGCCTAAGCAATATAAACAGATGAAGCGCTTGTGTACTTCACGCATATGCAAAAACAGATTCCAATTTTCATAGTAAGTTCCACATGCTGAACACAAATACACCTTTCTGGTTACACGAAAATTTGTAGAAGGAGTAGTGGGATTATTCAAACTGTTGGATGGTGTTTGGGGTAGCTGCTCATTACAAGTTAAACGATGTTCATTTAGCACAGCTAGTGAAGGAAAACCACTCTGAGAACATTTGGGACATTTAAACTGCACTGTTGGTTGGAGTCCTAAATACTGAGCATATTCACGGAGTTTAGGGCTGCTAGTCCTTTTGTTCTTCTTATTTTGATCTTTTTTACAAGGATTCACAACAAAGTTGTTTGCCTCACCTTCTATTACTTCAATATCTTTGGAATTAGAGGAATTAGTCCCTTCACTTGAACTGTTGCTTAATTTTCTATTGTATAATAAGTTAATTTTCTGATGAAGCTCAGATAGTTCTACTATTGATTCATTAAAATATGGATTTGTTAAGGGCTCTAATTCTTCATGGGATTTAAGTTTTTTAAAACCTTTAAATCCACTACTCTTTGAACCCACTTCTCCACTTTTTGATTTCGAACCTAACCTCTTCCTCTTTTTTGGTGGCTTTTGAGGATTTTCATCTATTACCAAATTATGGTCTGAGCTATCAGTATCTTCAGATTCCTTATCTGAATAAGCATCACCGTTTAACTGCACTGCTTCTGTATCTTCACTTTTCTTGATATCTTCACTGGTCACTTTTTCTGGCTCATCTCGTATTGGCTTTTCTCCATTACTTACTAACCCATCGTTACTTTCAGTCGTTTTTTCTTTGAAATCATCTTCCATACCGAAAAAACTACTTTCCTGATCAGTCCGGCATGAATTCCTAAAATTTAACAACATATTACAATTTGAAAATGCAATAACCATTATGAATGTATAAACAGATTTCTTTTTGGTTGTAAAAGCTTGAAACCAATACAACAATTTTACACGTAAAACAATGAAAATTAAAAGCATATATGAATTCAACTTTTGCTAAATAACAAAGAAAACAAAAAACTGCTTACAAGCCAAAAGCAGAGGCTATGAAGCCATTAGCAAATCATTACCCAACAACGCCGTCATGCATTTAGATAAAAGACAAGTTACATACTGAATACTGAGAATCGACAATATTCACCTTATTTTCAAACAAACTTGCTTACAACGTTGAAGTGAACAATTTATTATTATGCACTAAACTGACGTTTGGTCAAATTCTTAGATGTTTTCAATCAATTTACGTCTCCCCGCCTAAAGGTTAGTAATATGGCGTTCCGTCCATTTCTGGCGTTGAGACAACTACTATTTACATTGTGATTAATTTCTTTTGGGCAGTTTCTCCATTTACAAAGCTACATTTATATTCTTATTAGAGTAAATGAAAATAAAAATAATTTCATTCTGATTTTTTTATAGGTAATCTTATGGTTTTCCATAAATTCCGTGTTGTTGTCTATTGTGTCAATTTGCAAAACACGCATGCTCATAAGTTAGTATCTAAGGAAAAGCAGGAGAGCATTTATAAATATCTTAAATGCGCAATTGTTATAGTTTTTGAATAAGATTTTATCATTACTTTGATTTTTCATTAACACAACGGAGCATTCCTTATTGACTTATTACAATGAATTACTCAATTACTGACAGTGATAACCAGCAGGTTTTTTCGAGAGAATTTGAAAATATACTTCAAGTAAGATTTTTTTCAAATACGCGCGTTTTACGAATAATATCATGCATTTTTTAAATAGTATTACAAAAAAAAACAACAAAGGCAAAATGAATTTAGAAACTTAGTAGAAATGATTGAAGAAATAGAATCTTCAAGAGGAAATGAGTTGCAGTTTTATCAGCAACAGTTATCAATGCTTTCAAAAAATTCAGACGATGAAAGCAATGATATGACTTCAAAATATATTAATGAAAAAGGTAATAGGTACCTAATACTTTATTTATTTTCTATATTCTCATTCCTGATATATGCACTAGTGCGACGCAGTTTTAGTAACTAACAAAATTTTGCAATGTTAATTCTATAGGAGGAAGTTTGCGTAACACATCTGTTTAACATAATAAATAACTAATAAATTATTCTGAAAATGTATGAAATATGCTTATCCAAATGATTTATACAACTTGACACTTTTTTGGTCCTGTTCTTATGAAGAATAAGAGCAATAAGCTAATTAATTAGGTAATTAAAAAAACCGACCAATATTTCACTTTAATTATCTTTAGAAAAATGCTACCAACTGGAACAGCAAGTTTCGATTTTGACTTCAAAAATTGAAGATTTAAAAGTAGTATGTTCCAAAGAAAAAGAAAAAATAATATCAAAATATGAAGAAGAATTAGAAAAATTACGGCGCGAAAATGAAGAACGGAAGCAGGATTATATCAAAAAAGGTGAAAATAATATTTGAGTAAATTAAATTTAATTTGTTCAAATGTTAGTTTTCACATGTACCTGATGGTGAAAGCTGAAGAATATTACTTCTATTAGTATTAAAACATATACTACATAGCAAAATTGGATGGATTTTTAAACTAACTATTCAACTTTCAATCTTTCTTAGTAAACAATAAATTAATATTTTTTTTTTCATTTAAGAAATCGCTTTGTATAATGAATTACAAGCTACACAAGCCGTTGCTGCTGTGCAATTTGACGAAATGGAAATGAAATTAAAAAATCTTTTAGATGAAGCAAACCAAAAATGGCGTGAAGCAAATAGTTCTTGTAACACTTTGCGCAGTGAACTTATTCGTACCAAAACCCAAATGAATCAGATGAATTTCATTTTAAATTCCAAGCAAAAGGTAATAATCATGTATATATAGATAATTATACTGCATTTATAAATACATATTTAAACATCCCCTATTACAATTTAAGTGCATTAAGTACATATTGAACATTGAGTTTACTGTATAGTGTTTTTTGTCGTTTATTGCATTATGTTTCACAATATTTGCACATTTTATTATTTTAATACAGGAATGCCAAGATCTCCAAGACAAATTATGTGCAATGGAAGCAAAATTTTTTAAAATACACGAGACTAATATTTCTGATGATATTACGAATTTATTAAAAAAAGATTGTTATGATCATAGAGGTATGCCATGTGAAATGAATATTGGCCACAAACCATCTGATGTTAATATTGAAACTTCAGTACAAAACAAGGTCAACAATTTGACAAAAATTGAAAATAAAGGAACTACTACTTCAACTTACAAACCTTCAGATTCAATTAGACACAAAGAAACAACTTCTGAACTTGACGATTTTAAAGTGAATAATCAGAAAGAAGTAACAAATTTTAAGAGAAAAATAAAACTTCCATCACTAATTCAAGTGTCTAACGCTACTGAAACTAAATTTATTAAAAAGAAACGTAAACTATACAACATTAATGATATTGGAAATTTGAACGAAATTCAGTAATACAGAAGAGTGTGTTAAACCATTTAACTGTTAATTTGTTAACTAAGTTTTTCATTGTATAAATATGTACCTGCATTCAGTTACTTGTCGTTAAATCATTACAAGGTCGTTTGTCTCAAGATTGAGTATACTAGCATCTCCACTTTAAACTTCACATTTCTAGAAAAAGTAAAACGTTCCTCATTATAATTTTACTATTTGCAAACTATAAATAATATAATCTAGGTTTTCCCCTGTCCCTATTTACTCTTCATGTCTCATAAGGTGTCCTAACATCCTCTCTCCTTTTCTTTACCGACTTCCATAATGCCCTTTCTTCTCACTATTTCCAATAACCATTTCTATCCACGATATTTTCATTATCCTATAACACCACATCTCAAATCCATCAACTAAATAAATTGATTAGAAAATAAAAAGTAATTACACTTATCAGCTTATCACACAAACGTTTGAGTAGGAAAATAACTGTTTATTAATAAAAGTTCAATAAAAAATACAAACTAATCAGATACAAGTAATTTTCCAGTAGGCACTACCAAAGTTACCTATGTACATGATACATTCTAACATGGTGATATATCACATAGTAAGAAATAATATTTTTGGCACCTTCAATGGTAAAAATAATAAATATTTAAGTAAATTACACAAAACAAAAAAAGAGAGATCGTATTGACTTAACAAAAGAATTCTTTATTTTAAATAAAAATGCATTCGCTGATATCTCTTTGGACTACAGTGGAATTTTTGTTCCACATAGAACTACATGATAATAATACTATTGCTAAACAAAATAAATAAAAGGAAATATGGGCATTCAGTGTAGTCACTATTATTTATTAAAAAAGGTTGATGGCTAAAAAAAACTTTTTCTATCGTAGCACGTAATATATACATAGTAATAAACTTTTCTAAAGTTTGTTTTTACATTTTCTATTAATCTGTAAATAAATTAAATTTAAAGAAATAATTCATTGTTCTTTAGACAGCATATGGATTAATTTATCACAGTGTGAAATAAAATACCAATTATAAATATGTAAAGTAAGTAGAAATTGAAATAATTGCTGAATATTTTTTCAATATCTACAAAATATCCAATATTTCAAAATTTATAACATACAAAAATATATTATCTTAAAAATTGATAGCAGACATTGCTACATGACCAAAAAAGAAAAACACAAATAATATTCTTTCTCCACCTGAAGGAGCTAATATGTGACAAAATGATTATTGTTGTTCAAGAAAAAAACTATTTATATTTTTTGTTTTGACAATTTAGTAAATATAATTTCATAAGATTGATTGCTTTTAACAGTAATTAAGACAAAGAAACATTAATGTATTTAACATACATAATGAAAATTGTAACTAATAAGTTGAAGTCAAACTTACAGATAACTTATCATTAATCCAAAATGTTAGATGCTGCAATTTCTACGTTCCAATTTGATTTTTGTAAAGCAGCTTCGCATTTGTCTTTATTTGCTAATCCCAATCTAATAAATCCAAGTAGAAAACATGGAATTAGTTCATTGTACGTAACTAATTAAAAATATGTACTCACTTTAGTAATTTATCGACTTTAATAAATCGAATTGCAGCACTGGCGTCCCAACCGCAATTTTGTAAAGCATTCAAACATTCTTCTTTAGTTGTATCAGGCACTTCTTCTCTTATCCTACCTATTTTATTATTTCGAAATTCGGGGGTCATCAGTCTCTCAGCATCTGCACTCAACTAAGTACAAATTTGTTAGATACGAATACATAATTTTTTAAATATTATTTTAAACAATTAATTGATCAATGTTATTAATTGTGAACATTTTCAGTAAATTACTAAGCATGTCATAATCTAAAGGAATTATAAATGACAATTTATTATAAAATGGTCAAAAATGTATGTATGTATTTACTTGTCCCTGCTGTATCTTCCTTTGGATTTGTTGCATGCTCTGTGGTTGGCCCACAATAACTAGGGGCGATGGTGGAGCTGGTCTATGAGGTAAAAGACTACCATCAGGTACAACACTGTAATAATTTTCAGGTATTTCTGAATACACACTTTCAGCTACCTCACTGTACAGTCTCTGACTACCATATACAGCATTTTGAGAATTACAAGTACTTCCCGAACTGTTATATACCGATTCAGGATGTCCATAATTAGAGCAAGTCCTTCCAGCGATATCGTAAAACACTTCGTTATTTTCAGACGTAACTGAGTAATTAATGGCAGTACTGTTTCCATTTTGAACAGCATTACTTTGATATCCAAGAGAATTATTGTGATATTTGGATTCATAAACTTGTCCAAGATTATAATATGAAGTTCCAGAGTTTACATTTAAGGGCCTGTTAGTTTTGAATTCTCCAAATTCGAGAGGAGTTTGAAAATAAGGTCCTGTATTAGCGTTTCTATGTACATTTGTATTCTTTTCAGAGAGCATAGAATGTGAGTTGAGGGAAGAATCTGAGGTTCCTGTTCCTTTTATTGCTGAATCGTACCAAATTTGATTAAACACTGACACTGTATCACAGTTGGAAGTAATATCATTTTGTACAGTATTCAAACCAAAGGCTCCGGGCTTTTCCTGAGCATCGAGGTTTGTGTTCAATTTAAGAGCGGCAAAGTTTTTCGCTCTTATTGAAGGGGGAGGAGGATCCAGAGTTGGGATATTTTCTGAATTGTCATCTTTACTAATCTTTAAAGTTTCAAGTTCCTCTATGAATTTACTATCCAATTTATTTAAGTCTGAAGGATCAGGAGTACTATTATGTGTAATTCCCGGCAAAGTGCTGTCGTTTATTTTTACACATTCTGCATAGGCATTTAGTTTTGTGGATGACGGAGAAAAGCCATTATTTATGGATTTGATATCGTTTTTGTAAGGGGTAGGTTGGATATTGGGAAAAACTGACTCTTCTAACTGAGCAACGTGGGAATAATATCTGTTTGGTAAATAGGCTTTTGATGTATCAAATGGATCGTCTTTACCACTGACATGAGTATCACTATTTAAATTATAGGAGTTGCTATATGTATGCTCCTCTTGGTATGGGATGTGATTATCAGTTGGTATCGAATTATCTGCCCAAACGTCTAAAATATATTTTTTTCATTTAAATTAGGTCCTAATTAATGATAGTTTTAACTTATTTGTAATGACATTGAGCTATATAAAAAAATGTAAGAAAATAAAATACTTTTAATCATCACTATAATGTAGTATTTATACTACAGTTGTACCTTAAACATACTCTTGACAAAAGCTTAACATGCTGAAACAATTGTAGAGTGAATACTACATTATACTGAACATTAAAAGCAATTTAATTGTTACATTTATCTATTTAAATTATGTTTCATAAAGAACAACTCTAAATTCATTAAATATTGGAAAATAAAAAATTATAATAAATACGGACCTTGCTGTGGCACATCAATCGGTTCATCCAAAATGGAAACATTTGTAGAGGACAAAACGGGCGCCTGACTACTCTGCCGAAGCAATGTGCTTTCGTTAGGAGATATATCTATTAAAATGCTCTCTTTGGTTTCTGACTGATGATGATTTTTCGGTTGAGGAGGGCGTGAGGGTTTATTCTTAGACTTGTCCTCTGCCAATTTTCTGTAGTCGAACTGCTTTCCAGCCGATTTTCTTGAATAATTAGAGAGCGCTGAGAAGACAAAAACAACATATTTGTGAAACTTGTTTTGGTGGACCAATAAATCTAAATAAAGACGAAAATAAATAAAGATCAATAAAACAACTCCCTTAGAATGAAAATGGCCGTGCATATTGCGGTTGTCTGTTAAGCGAATTATTATAGTTAGTAATTTAGTTAACCTAAAGTGTAATGTTATGATTTAAAATATACTTACAACTTCTTGAGTTATTGGATTTTCTACGATCCGATAGTTGAGGTGTTGGTTGAGATTCACTTTGTATGCCCATAACATCTGGAGGTTCCATAGGATTCTTTAAATACATAGCATCTATGTAAGCTGGACTGCCCCAGGATTCTCCGAATGCTGATCCATGCCCAGTATGTATAAAAGAATTTTTTAAAGGCTTACTAATATCTTCCGGGGCTGTGGGGCGCATTGGATCAACAATGCACCTAAATTTTACCATTATAAACATACACAAGGCCAATTAACGTTATCTTATAATTAGGAAAAAAATAAAATCAATTTATATATAATTTTACAAACCTAGGAAAAGTTCCAATATCAAAAGTTCTTTGATTTTGACCTTTCCACCAATACAGTTCGGGTCGACCGTCTATAATGGCGATTTGATCACCGATGTGAATTTTTAATTTGTCTGGCTCATCTTGCCTCATGAGAGCTTTCATAACAGGTGGAGTAGCTTTACGGAAAAAATCTTTTATCGCAGCAAATGTAGGACGTTCCTGAGGGTTTTTTGCCCAACATTGCAAAAGCATACCATAAATATCGATGGGACAAGCGTCCGGATGGTGTAAGCGTTCGCCGTCCCTTGCTATTTTTCGTAATATTTCTGAACCTTCATAAAAAATGGATTGCAATGAATTAAGAAGGAACTGACGCTAAACAAAAATGGAGACAATAATCTCGATCTTAGAGAATTAAAACAGAAAATTAATAAATTAACAACAAAGAAACTTCTAATTAAAACCTGTATATTATACGTATTATGAATGTAGGTACTCATTCACTGGTTATATTATTTTTAATAAAATTGAAACAAAAGAGTACTAACCAGTCAAGCCCATCCAAGGTTCTTCCCCAAATGTAAACATTTCCCATACAGTAACACCGAACATCCAAGTATCAGAAGCATGACTGAATTGTCTGGATCTTAAAGATTCTGGGGCACACCAAGGGAAAGGAACCTTTTTGTGCTCTGTCATAACATAGCAGTCTTCTTGTTGAGGTAAAGCTCTCATCAAACCAAAGTCACCTATTTTAACCTTCAGAAACAATTAAATTATTGTACAGCACAAGGGAAAATGGATAAAAGTATTTAAGCAAATAAATACCTTATCTTTTGCAGCTAACAAGACATTTCTACAAGCTAAATCTCTATGTAAAAAGCGTTTGCTTTCCAAATATGCCATTCCTGTAGCCACTTGTGTGGCATATTCACTTAAAAGAGTGACAGGTGTATGCTGACATTCTTTCCTTAAACAATCTAATAAAGAACCTAAGGGTGCTAATTCTGTTACCATCATCATTGGCTGAGATAGTACAACACCATACAATCTACAATTGAAATTAATAATATGACCTCTTCATTAAATATTTACATGGTCATTTTTTTTTGTAGCCTTATGAGGTTTAACTTTAATATGATAAAACTTTAAGTAAATAGTAGTACATTAAAATATTTATTGATAGAATATTAACTACGAAGAAAAAATTTTCTTGATTAGTAACAACTCTCTCTATGTTCATTTTTTGCAAACTAATACAATAAACTATAGTTTATAACATAAAATTTGTTGATATCTTTTCTCTTTTCATTTATACAAAACTTAGAAACCACATGACATGCTGATGACCTTCAGCTGATAAATACTATTTTATAGTGATCAAAGCTTATATTGTATTAAACAGAAGAAATAAAAAATATAATTTACTTCGACGAAAAAATTAATTTTGATTTGTGTTTTGATGAAACAGCTTTTTATTATTATTATCTTATTTCAAGAAAAACTGTAACTCACTTGATTAAATTGTGATGTTTTAAAGAGTGCATGGCTTGTACTTCTTTAATAAAATCATCAAAAATTCCAGGCTGGGCAAGGGCATCTGCTTTTAGTACTTTAACAGCTACAGGCAATGTTCTACCAGTGGGACTTGTCCATTCTCCTATATTAAAAAAAATGGATAATTATTCACTGGAATTATTTTCATAGAATTAGAAATAATACTTGTTTTATAATATTTTAAACTGACAAAATACATCTGCAGCTATTAAAAAACATTAGATTAGATAAACACAATTAACTTAGTCATAGCATCAACCTTTTATTTTCATTATGCAGTTATATTAAATGAAAAGGGAATGTAAAGGTTGAATTAAACATTACCTCTTCTAACAACTCCAAAAGAACCATCCCCTAATTTAATGGATAAAGTTACATCTTTTTCTTGAATTAAGCAAGTTAGGCTTAGAGATAAATTATCTTCTTCAGCCTTTTTATTAGTAGTTTGTTTATTAGAAACTGGAATTAGTTTTGTTAAAAGGTTTCGCTTCCAGAGTTGAGCTCTTCTTTTTTTAACTGCATCTAACAACCTTCTTGCTCCTTAAAAGTGATAATGAATAAAATAAAGCCAGAAAACATTACATATTAGTCTTACCTGGCTTGCTTATTCCAACTTTTTCTAGATCTTCCGATAAAACATAATCAAAATGTTCTAACCTTGTGATTTGTAAATCATCTCTTATTGATGCTAAAAATTGTGATAGTTGTACATCTCTCAAAATATCTTGCAACCATTCTATTCCTTCTTCAGACATTGTTCTTGATCTGAAATTAAAATATACCTAATTATAATGAATAATTGATTTTCATTCTACAAATTCGACTAATTAATCATGCACTGTATAATATATTAAGAATATCTTTACTTATTATAGTGCACGGAGGATATTAACTTTAGATTAGATTAGTTTGGATCTTTGGATGCACACTTATTAAATTAATGCAGTACACTTACGATTTCTTTCTTCTATAAAGATACACTTACATAATTTGTAATTTAATGATATATGAAGGAAATCGTTCATTAAGGCATTGTTAACGTAGGAGTATTATTTTGAAGTATATTTTTAAGGATTTATTTACTTATTAACGTCTATTTAACTATAAACAACACAACAATAACCAACAAGCTAACCTGCCCAAGGCCACATGACATTTCTTACAATTCTGATCAGACTTACAAAACAAAACCATTACCAGCATAGAATTGTATGTTATAATAAGGTTGTAATACATCCGCTTTTTTATTATACAGATCAGTATTTTCGGTTGCCTAGCGTTCAAAAGTAAAATTTAAATTTTACAGATACGCGGCAATTTAAATTTGTATTTAGCTTGATTAAATATTAATTTTATTAAGCACAACAGTATGGTAATTGAAAAATGAATTTGAATAAAATCAAAAATAAAGACTGAAAAATTAAGTAAGAATTGCTTTTTAAATTGTAGAAAAAAAACATAAGTGTTAGTGCCTTTAAATTGACCACTATAACATGATCACATTACAGTACTTCAGTGATGTTTCTTAAAGCAATTTTGGAAAGTTTATACACGATTTTCTTAAAATAACAGCATTTGCATTCATTTTTTAAACCATCAAACACACATGACAGCAGCAGATTTGCTTTACCGTCAAGTGCGGTGACATGTTCGCAGAACAGAATTTATCTTTGGTCCCTGGCGTAAATAAGAAGGACCGGGCAAGACGAGCGAAATATATATTGCAGTTGCGTTTACGGAAAAAAAGAAGCAAATCTTTCGTGGGAGTTATAAAGTAAAAAGTGAATTTTGGCAAGCAAAACGTTGCGCTCGCCGCTGACTGCAACCGTACCTCTTGGATCTGTTCCATATGCATTTAACCAATTNGATTTCAATAGTTCATCCAGGAAACTAGCAATTGTCTTAACTCATTTTCCAATAATTGCTACTAATTTTTAACGTCTCTTACTGTAATTGTTATTATTTACAGAGTTTATGGAGATGATGACCGGAGAGTAAATTAATTAAGTTTTACGATTAAGTGTATTTAAAAGACGGTCGCAGTGTGTATATATTTTGTTTCTTCAGGTTTTTAATTTTATTTATTATAACAACATGAACAACATTGTATTAAGATAAAATAACTGTTTACATGGTATGTTTGTTCACACATTTTTTGTTGTCAAGCATCAATTATATATTTGTACACTGATATTTTTGCGCTGTATTACTCACAATCGATATATTTAAGAAAATAAAAACTATTTTATCTTTAGTACTCGAACATTTTTAAATGCATTAAACATTATTAAAGTTAACTTTTTATAAAAACAGATATAGGGATATAGAATCTATATCATTCGTTAACTAAAGATAGCAGCTTATGTGTAAAAACACATTATTTACTCATTGAATATTTTAGAATCATGAGATTTTACAAGAGCGGATATATTTTGAAAAAGATATTGACTGCAAATAGATGCGGAATTTTGGACCTTAGCCTCTTTTCCACGAATCCGCCATTGTAGTTTTTTATCAGTAATTAATCAAAGCATAAACACTGGTTATATTATTTTTAATAAAATTGAAACAAAAGAGTACTAACCAGTCAAGCCCATCCAAGGTTCTTCCCCAAATGTAAACATTTCCCATACAGTAACACCGAACATCCAAGTATCAGAAGCATGACTGAATTGTCTGGATCTTAAAGATTCTGGGGCACACCAAGGGAAAGGAACCTTTTTGTGCTCTGTCATAACATAGCAGTCTTCTTGTTGAGGTAAAGCTCTCATCAAACCAAAGTCACCTATTTTAACCTTCAGAAACAATTAAATTATTGTACAGCACAAGGGAAAATGGATAAAAGTATTTAAGCAAATAAATACCTTATCTTTTGCAGCTAACAAGACATTTCTACAAGCTAAATCTCTATGTAAAAAGCGTTTGCTTTCCAAATATGCCATTCCTGTAGCCACTTGTGTGGCATATTCACTTAAAAGAGTGACAGGTGTATGCTGACATTCTTTCCTTAAACAATCTAATAAAGAACCTAAGGGTGCTAATTCTGTTACCATCATCATTGGCTGAGATAGTACAACACCATACAATCTACAATTGAAATTAATAATATGACCTCTTCATTAAATATTTACATGGTCATTTTTTTTTGTAGCCTTATGAGGTTTAACTTTAATATGATAAAACTTTAAGTAAATAGTAGTACATTAAAATATTTATTGATAGAATATTAACTACGAAGAAAAAATTTTCTTGATTAGTAACAACTCTCTCTATGTTCATTTTTTGCAAACTAATACAATAAACTATAGTTTATAACATAAAATTTGTTGATATCTTTTCTCTTTTCATTTATACAAAACTTAGAAACCACATGACATGCTGATGACCTTCAGCTGATAAATACTATTTTATAGTGATCAAAGCTTATATTGTATTAAACAGAAGAAATAAAAAATATAATTTACTTCGACGAAAAAATTAATTTTGATTTGTGTTTTGATGAAACAGCTTTTTATTATTATTATCTTATTTCAAGAAAAACTGTAACTCACTTGATTAAATTGTGATGTTTTAAAGAGTGCATGGCTTGTACTTCTTTAATAAAATCATCAAAAATTCCAGGCTGGGCAAGGGCATCTGCTTTTAGTACTTTAACAGCTACAGGCAATGTTCTACCAGTGGGACTTGTCCATTCTCCTATATTAAAAAAAATGGATAATTATTCACTGGAATTATTTTCATAGAATTAGAAATAATACTTGTTTTATAATATTTTAAACTGACAAAATACATCTGCAGCTATTAAAAAACATTAGATTAGATAAACACAATTAACTTAGTCATAGCATCAACCTTTTATTTTCATTATGCAGTTATATTAAATGAAAAGGGAATGTAAAGGTTGAATTAAACATTACCTCTTCTAACAACTCCAAAAGAACCATCCCCTAATTTAATGGATAAAGTTACATCTTTTTCTTGAATTAAGCAAGTTAGGCTTAGA